TACTTATATCATCCATTATTGTTGATGCTCGCTTTAATAAGCATGTTCATAAACATGCCAATAAACATAAATGCCCAACTTGCTGTAAATCACGTGGTAGTCCAGGGTGGAATGACAAGATTCATTCAACCAACAATATAGTAAACTATGATATTTCTACTCCGCAAGATTGTTGTAATTCATGTGTTGAAGATCCAAATTGCGTTGAATGGTTGTTTCATAATCGTGATAAGCCAGATAAGCCATTCTGTACGCATGGCTTCAATTCGAGTGATCCAAATAGCGAAACTTGTTCAGGTGAACTCTTTACGCCAAGTAGCTTCCTTACGCCAAGTGGCTTAAAAAATGATGAAGGTGGTATTATTCGTTGCAGTGACGGCAGTCCATGTCATTAAATTATTTTGAAATTGGATTTTTTTTATATTTATTAGCTGCAAACCCGTTGTGTTGCAACGGGATAAATATAAAAAATATAATTTAGTATAAATAAACTATGATTTAGTTAACTAAAAAAAGCTTTGTATACTAATTTTATAATTACAGCATACATTAATATTTTATTTTTTATTTTAACTGTTATTACTTTATAAAGATATTACGATCTATAATTAGTTAGTTATTAGTTAGTTTGATCCCAAAAGCTTGTACTTGTAGAGACTTTACTGTACTTGAATAGAAACTGTTTATAAACTAAATTAGTATGATAAAAACCTTCAAATACTCATATTAATAAATCATTGGTATTTACTGACCAAATCAACTTTGATAAAAAGTGGCATATGAAGTATCCTACTTTAATAAGAGGTTAGTAAATTATTTTAAGTATTTAGATAAATAAATAATTATTATACCCACCAATTAAATAAAAGATTATACAATATTTTAAAATTTGTTGTCAAATTGAGAACTGGATTGGCATGTTGGATATTGAGAATCATTTGGACGATAGAGAAACGGTTCCGGTTTAACTTCCCGAAATCCATTTTTTCTGAAACACCATTTCACCGAAGTCGTAATACCGAAAATCCATTTTGTTAGCAGGACAGAAATAGGTCTGTGT